AAACCCGCATACCAAACAGCTCCTTAAGGACATGTTTGGATGATCCACGTCGGGGGAATTTGATTAGTTTTAAACTCAATCCAAGAGATTTCTACATGAGATTCAATCAAAAATTCAATCTCACCCTATATTTGGTAGGTGAAATTAATATATGTGGAATCCATAGATTCATGTCAAATCATATTACTTAATTTACTAAAATTTTTATTATTAGGTGAATAAAAAAATAATTTTTTGGGTAAAATAATCTTTTTATCTTTAAATTCAATCATATACTTTTAAAACCTATACTCTTATGGGTTTCAATAAATCCCCATATTTGGCTTCTAATGCACTATTTATTGCAGGCCGGGATATGAATTTCAGGTTTAAAAGTCTTAATCAAATATAAAATTAAGTGGTCTATCAAATTATTTTTCTTAAATCTCCTTCCAAATTCGTACCAAACCCGATAAACAAACATGTACTAAATATTTGTTCTAATGATGGTGATTATTATGACAGTATAATCACTAAACACACAAGTGGGTGGAGAGGGAGAGATAGGGATTTAAAGAGAGTGATCATATAGCAATAGAAAATTACAAAAGGTATGGGGATTTGTATGGCGTAAGCATGGTCATTGTCGTCTCCTCAATCAAAATATAACGCGACCGTTAACACAATCTTCTTTAATTTACCCGTTTAATAAACTTGGACCTAACATGAGTTGATTAATAAACAAATTGGGTATATGTGAAGTCAATCAATACACAATATGACTCGTTTATATACCAGTTATACACGGTTCATACACGACACGAATTCAATATAATACAATTCATTAGACATGAATTAATAAACGAATTGAATATAAGTGGAGTATTTGTTTGTTGACAAGAATTCGCCTCACCCGACACAATTCGCACAGGCTAATATATTCTGCATCTATCACATTCGATATGTTCAAATTCATTGCTTAAATGGCCAACTCAATAATGTACAAACAAAAAAAAGGGTGATGAAACTAGTTACAACACTTTATAAATCTTTGTTTTTTTTTTATCACAAACAAAATTTTCATTCTATTCATGAAAAGAGTAATTACAATCTTTTGATAAAATATCTGCTAATTCTTGTGGCTGGCCATCTACCCAAGATAATGGTAGATATAGAGGTAGACAAGCATTTGCCACCCAATGAACCGCATTGTTAAAAGCTGAAGGTGTATAGTAGAAATATAGTTGCAATTGTCTCACACATATCCGAATATCCTTGATAAAAGGCCATATTTCCCATGGTGGATCATCCTCATTGGTACAAAGTACTATTACCTGCAAGTTATCACTCTCTACAATTGCTCTGTTCAGTCCAAAGACTTGCGCCATCACAGTTGCTTCTCGTACCGCCGCTGCTTCTGCATATAAGCTTGACACTGCTGGGATTTGCATAGCTTTTCCGTTTAGTAAGATGCCTCTTTCATTTCTGATCACAATTCCAATTGCTGATTGTTGTTGGTGTTGCTTGAAAGCTTCATCGCAATTAAGTTTCAGCTGGTCACTTGCAAGAGGAACCCATGAGTTGGTTGCTGAAGAGTCAATAGTTGCTGTTGGAGGGCTACTCGGCATTCTACTCCCTATGGAGCTGAAATCTCCCCACAGACTTTGTGGTGGAGAAATATCCATCACTGGATTAGGTTTCTTCTTATTGAAAACTGCTTCATTTTTACACCTCCAAAAAATCAACCCTACGTACTGTGGCCACCTTACTCATTGAATGATATTTGAAATATGCAGCCAATTACAGCTTTTGCAATTGACCCCGAGCGTTACATGATAACTTTATTGTTTATGACTTTGAAAATATATTTTCCTAAAGAGACTATCTAGCTATCAATCATTAATTAATCGTTGATTTCGGTTACAAAACTATTTTTCACGCAAGTTTTACCATATTTGGCAAACTATCTTTCAAGTATCCAGTTTTTATTCCGAAGCAGCTGCACTAAGAGAAGCTTGTCTCTTAATTTCTGCTCCTGGGCTTCGTGATGCTACTGTTTCTAATGACAACCTAGAGTTAATCAAGAAGTGTGTTTCGAAAGATGCTCCTCCATGGGAGATCAATGCTTTTGTTAGTGATATTCGCAATTTTGCTAAAGCGTTTAATTTAAGCTTTGTTCACAAGCCGAGAGCTCTTAACAGAGCAGCTCATTGGGTTGCAGCCATAAAATTATCTAATTTAATTCATTTGAGTTGGATGCACTACGCCGTTATTGTAATCAACATTTTCTAACGTAATGTAATGTGTAGATCTGATTATCTTCAAAAAAAAAAAAAGGTATTATCATTAAGGTATCAAAACAACAAAGTAATAAAACAAAAATATAAGAAGTAAGTATAATTATATCATTAAAATCCAGTTGAAACACATCAAACACATTGCATATAGAACTAAAAAAAAAAGTAGTAAATATGCAAATGAAAATCAATCGAAGAGAATTAGAGGGTTTGAATTTTTTTTAAATCATCCGTTTCATAAATTAATAGGTTTGACATGACACAATTGATAAACGAATCGAGTATGAGTGAAGTTAATTAAAAAAAAAAATGCAACTCAACTCGTTTATGTACTGATTATACATAATTCATATATAATATGAACCCAATATGACACGACTCGTTAGACACTAACTAACAAATGAATAATGTGAGTGAAATTTTTTTTTTCTTATAGACCTAATCATAAAGTACAAAACATTATCAATCCCGATATACTTTTTGAATATTCAAAATTTGTAATCATTATTATATAGATGATGATTGAAATAATTTTATGATCACCAAGAAACCAAAATAAGAGAGACATAAGAGCTTTTCACTAGTGGTGAGTATCAAATTGAGTTTGGACTTTTAAAGCAAAAGTTTCACGCTGTGGGGACCCTAAAAAGAAAAAGAAGAGCTTTTTCACATGATTTTGTGGACAGCCAGAATGCGAATCTAGTGTTGAGCCCACAACATCTTGTTAGTGGGCCATAGTTATCATGCAGGTGTAAGTCACGTGCTCAGCATGCAAGTGGGTTCCATGAAGATATGTTTCTTATTCTCAATTTTTAGAGAAAATCTCATTTTCACTCCCGAAAGATATAAACATTCTCACTTTATCTCTGAATGTTTAATTTTTTCACTTTATTCCCTCAAAAAAATAAAAACGTTACAAGGTGGTCCAAAAATATTTTTATTGCAACATTTTTGGAAGCAAATTGTAACTTTTTGGACCACATTATAACATTTTTATTTTTTTTGAGGGACAATATAAAAAAATTAATCATTCAGGGAATAAATGAATTAGTTGTAGAACACTGTTAAATTAATTTACCAAACTAATTATAATTTCAATCTATTTTATCGCATAATAGTTTGAGAGAAACTACAATTTAGCCTAAATTTGTAAAACATATATAGTTATAAATTTAAAAAATTTCAACTACGCTCTTCCTAGTTTATTATATATTTAAGGACATTCTTTATATTATTCAAAACATCACTGACACTCAAAAATATTAAAATTACCCATACATAAACCCCGAATAATCTTTTTATATAACATTCGATTAAAATTCAAGACGATTAAAATTTATCTTTTCAAATATTAAAATTTGAGCTAATTAAAATTCAATTCGAGCTGATTAATTTTTTTATGTTTTTTACGTATTTGAGCCTAATAAAATTCCTTTTTGACATATTAAAATTCAAGTCGATTTGAGCTTTACCAGAACTGTTAGTGTTGATTAAAATTTATATTTTTTTATTTATTAAAATTCGTGCTAATTAAAATTCAATTCAAGTAGAGTAAAATTTATTTTTTACGTGTTAAAATTTGAGTCGATTAACATTCATATTTTTGTATGTATCAAAATTCAGGCCTATTAAAATTCAATGTGAGTTGATTAAAAATGAAATTTAATCAGCTCAAATTTTAATATGTAAATATATATTATTTTTAATCGAATCAAATGTTAATACATAAAAAAATGAATTTTAATTAGATCGAATCAAATTTTAATCAGCTCAAAATTTAATATGTAAAAAAAATTTAGAAATCCGAGGATGTCTCATTGAAGATATGTCTATCTAGAGGGGGTGTGAGTGAAATTTTTTCTAAAATATATTATAGAGAATTTAGTAAAATTACATTTTATTTAACACATTTAATCTAAATGGGAGAATCAATAACGATTCAGAGAATAGATGGGGGTATCTTTGAAGATATGATAAATTAAAAGGTATGTGATTAAAATTTTTCCTTATAAATTTGTAAACTTAAGTCCTATAAAAATAATAAATTAAAATGAGGTGACTAACATTATTTCAAGGATAGAAACATAATTTGTAAAAAACATAACATGGCTCCGCCAATGATGGGTGAAAACCTTGAGTAGGTTATACAGACTGTCTGCTCCAAATGATATATATATAGTAATAAAACTTAGACAGAGACCACTCATTGATTGGTCTGTCTGTGGTTATTGTGGTATGCCTTGACTTATCCATTGTTTTGAACACCTTTGGGTCGTCACATGTTACCACATTAACACATGATAGATAAATTAATGGGTTAATTGTAAATTATACCTTGAAAGCTCATTTGAACTTCAATTTGCACCTTTAAAAATCAAAAGTTTTAATTTGTACTTTCAAAAATAGAAATTTGTATTAATGTGTACCTAAAACTAACCGTCGTCAGTTTGCTATATAAAACTAGATTGATAAATTATACTTAGATCTTCTCATACTTGTCACTTAATCTTACATGGGTTGCAACAATAAACCAGTTCGAGTCAAGGAGTTAATTTGTTTGGAAATATTTGATTTAAAAAAATTAAATTTAGTTTCTTAATATGACCAAGATTGTAATCAATTTTACAATGAAATTTCCTTTTTTAGTTAATAGCTTAACTTGGTAAGTATTTTCATTTAATTTTGATATTCTTTAACTAGTAACAGTTGGATGTCGATTTAATGGTTTATGTGAAAAGTCCCTACAAGAAGCTCTAGTGAAAAATTTTCATGATCACGTTACTCTGTGTTTTTATATTTAAATAATTTAGTATTGTATTAATTAATTTGTAACTAAATATATTTTTTTGACATAAACCTAAAATAGTACACTCCATTTATGATACTACATGACTCGACTAATGCCTAATCAGCAAATATTGTATGAAAAATGTGTCTATAGAATAAGAAAAGGAAAACAAGGTAACAGTTCTGTAACATTTGTGGAATTAACTAACAAAAAAAATATTATTACATCACTTTCGATCCTTGGGCCTGGCACCAAGTGCTTAATCTTGGAAATAATGATTGGGTGAGAGACCACTTGAAATCTTACTATTTTCCTAGGCTTTGAGAGAGCTTTGTATTGGTAAGTGTAGCAAATAATCAAGAGAGAGAGAGGAGCTTTGTTTTGGTATGTGTAGTAAATAATCAAAGTGATACTTTCGTTTGTGAATACAAAGTCCTTGTCCAGTCTAAACCTAAAACTTAAAAAATTATCGCTAGATTGACAAAAAATAGGGATAAAAATAAAATACAAAATAACGTGACAACTGAAATAGTAAATCGTAAGCTTTAAGCTTAAAAATAACAGAAGTGAGTTCTAAATTCAAACGTTCAAGATTTTAAATTTGACAATTTTTTAAAGTTAGACCACGAAATATTTATACATGCGCGTAAATTAGTCCGAATATAATTGACTATAAAAAAAACATCATATAAATAAAAATAGAACAAAAAAAAATAATTATTATAATATCTCATCTTTTGACCTCTATTTTAAATCATTTGATCTCATCATTTGCCCTGCTGCCACGGCCTAATCAAAAAGCCATGATGAAGCCCATCGGGCCATTGCCAGGCCCATCCCATGTGTCAAGATATGGGTTTGAATCTGTAGAACAANCAGTTGGATGTCGATTTAATGGTTTATGTGAAAAGTCCCTACAAGAAGCTCTAGTGAAAAATTTTCATGATCACGTTACTCTGTGTTTTTATATTTAAATAATTTAGTATTGTATTAATTAATTTGTAACTAAATATATTTTTTTGACATAAACCTAAAATAGTACACTCCATTTATGATACTACATGACTCGACTAATGCCTAATCAGCAAATATTGTATGAAAAATGTGTCTATAGAATAAGAAAAGGAAAACAAGGTAACAGTTCTGTAACATTTGTGGAATTAACTAACAAAAAAAATATTATTACATCACTTTCGATCCTTGGGCCTGGCACCAAGTGCTTAATCTTGGAAATAATGATTGGGTGAGAGACCACTTGAAATCTTACTATTTTCCTAGGCTTTGAGAGAGCTTTGTATTGGTAAGTGTAGCAAATAATCAAGAGAGAGAGAGGAGCTTTGTTTTGGTATGTGTAGTAAATAATCAAAGTGATACTTTCGTTTGTGAATACAAAGTCCTTGTCCAGTCTAAACCTAAAACTTAAAAAATTATCGCTAGATTGACAAAAAATAGGGATAAAAATAAAATACAAAATAACGTGACAACTGAAATAGTAAATCGTAAGCTTTAAGCTTAAAAATAACAGAGGCGAGTTCTAAATTCAAACGTTCAAGATTTTAAATTTGACAATTTTTTAAAGTTAGACCACGAAATATTTATACATGCGCGTAAATTAGTCCGAATATAATTGACTATAAAAAAAACATCATATAAATAAAAATAGAACAAAAAAAAATAATTATTATAAT